TTTTTGGTCTTTCTTTTTTCATATTTAACAGTACAGTTTCCTCTTCGTCACTGCTACTACTACTACTTTCCAAAAGTTCAGTTAAAATTATCTTCTTAATATCACCCATTATTTTTACTTTTTATCTTTCACCAAACTGCACTGCCAAAATTGGTCGTGTAATAAATGTTGCACTCGTACAGTTTATTTTGTGTGTCTGAATACACAATCACTCCTGCACTAGTTTAGTGCAATAGTTATCGAACACGACACAAGGTGTGTTCTATACTAGTATCATCTAACCGAATACGACGAGTGCAATGCACTGAACAAGAAGGCATCAGTCGAATACGTTGCACCGGGAAAATTCGCCTTCAGTGTACACTAGTGTACACTAGTGCAAGCGACCGAAATCGCTATAAGTTAAGTGATTATCTACAAAAAAAGAAGAAGCCAACTAGCAATTGGATCATATATACAAATGTCAGAATTCTAAAACTTTGCAGTATGTATAAAATATTGTGTGTCTCCATGTTATGGGTTTTACAATTTTTATTAATGATATCTAGTTTTTCTTTTCATTTTTTGCTAAAACTTATACTTTTGCTTATATTTCTGTTTTTTATATTCAAGAAAATTTTGGATAATCTTGTACAATTTACATGATAATAAGTATGTAAAATGTATAACAGAGTTGAACGTTACATTTTAATTATAATATCTTACATCTATGTGTGGACAATGTTTAAAATATTATCTAAAAAAATATTATAATGAATAATCTATGATTGTCGTTTAAAAGCCATATGGATGGTTAAAGAATTAATTAAGAAAATTTTATATTTTTAACCTTTTTTTTTAACTTTTATTGTTTTTCATTATTTCAACTTTTTGTTTTTCTAACTTTCATTTATCATTTTTTCTTTAAATTACTCCTTTTTATAGTAAATTTTAATATCATTGACAATATCCTACATAGTTCACATGGTGTACACTCAGAGGCAGGTATGGTGTCCCTCGGCGGGTCCGTATACGCCTGTCAAATAGTCGAAAGCGACAACAGGCGTATACGGAGGGCGTACTGTACGTCTGACGTACAACGCGAGAGAAGCGAAGAAGGCACGTAGGGGAAGTGGTGGGAGATATTTCGATGTTGCATTCTTTTCGCACGTCGTCCGATCGAGAGAGAAAACATCAGCAGACGTGATAGCTGTTAGTGGTGTCCTCAATAGCTGTCTCACTCACTCAACGCTTGAATGCAGAGAATATGAGCGAGACAGCAATAGGGACACCGCGCTGTCTCTATAGGTGTCTCGCTCGCTCTAGTATCCATGTATCACGCTTTCCTCTTTTCTCCTTAGCAGAAATGCACGTTGTGCCG